TTACTTCAGCAGTCATTGTTTCCACTTTATCATGTCAGTATCAAGCAAAGCTCGACATGTGCTGGCACCTGAAATTCTGAAGTCGAAGAACAGAAGTCATTCGGGGCTTCGCTCAGATGACTTCTGTTCCTCGACTTTTTTAAAATTTGTGATCATGACTTAATGGGAATGAATGTTAGTGAAGCAGGTCTAGGGAAGAATATCTTTAGAATATCCGCGCAAGATCGAAAAATTACGTTTTTATAGCTTTCCTCACGCTAAAATGAAGGCTTCTGTGGGAATTTTCTGAGAATAGAGGACAACATTTCGCACCTAACCTTTAGGCTATGATTGAGTTTCAAGCTCAGAGAGTCGCGCACAAAACTGCTGGTTTATCCCGTTAATGTGCATTTTCAACACTTGTTAGTGCTCCTGGTCGTGTCATGACGATCAGAATGATATATATACAGAGGTTCGTTAAGACTTCGCGGAGATCTATGACCAGAGCAAAATGCTCCATCTTCTCTGCTCGTCTGCCTCTCCGCGCGTTTCGGGCTACCTCGCTACCCCAGACGCGGGAACGGGTTTTGGCTCTGGTACCCTTTTCTTCGTTGTTTTGAATCCAGTTTCAGCAAATTTATATCATATTAAAGCTATTGATCTCTATTTTTCACGCTGACAACGTCCCAAAATTCTAATTTCTAGTTTAAACGAGCATTCTGGCAAAAACGTGATTTCAATTATCTCTTGTTTTTTATCTGATTTTACCTTTTCGCGCAATTTTTTCGTGCTTATAATTGGCCTTGCTTCTTCTATAATGAAGACAATGTCGCAGAGCTCAGTTCCTCGATTATGGCGGTTATTTCTGTAAAAATCGTAAGAAGTCCGCTGTTTTCGCCCTGTTCTCATCACTGTTTACGCAGCAAATTTTTTCCTACTTGAACATTATTGTTCAGAATAGTGAGCGCAACAATCTAAACAACATTGCAGGAAACAGCACAGGAATGCAGAAAAGCTCAAAGGACGCATTAAAAACTAGGGTTTGACATGCATTTCCACTTACGGAGCTAGAATTTTGGTCGTAGCACCCTATTAGCATGTAGACAAACTGCGCAAAAGCAAGCCAGTCCGATAAGTGGTACTGTAAACTGTGCGCCAAACAGATCCACGCCACTTCTGACGCGCCAGGTGGGCCTGTAATTGGATTTTTTTTCCAAAATCGTGGGTTTATCTAATAAGTAACTCCGCAGTCCATGTACTTTAGCTTGAAAATTGAGCAAAAAATCTACTTTCACCAAGATCGGCACCAAAGAGAAATGCATGCCCAGATGGTCGATTTGTCAATGTTTCACCTAAGAATTTGTGGAGAATTTTGCTTGGAGATCTAATTCACGGTAATCATTGTTCTCTATGGCAAAAATCAAGCCATTAATAACTTCATAAATCCCTAGTTAATCTTTTAAAGAATACTTTCTTACTCTCAAAGTCACCGATCTCACATGAAAACGCTTCTGGAATGAGTGGTTGTTTACATCCTGATGATCGGCATCGCGCAGCAATCAAAGAAATCATTTCACGACTTCGAGGAAGGCACGTGGATATTAGGACCAGTGCGAGCCTCTGTGAAGCAGAGGTGACGCGTGGTATGTTCTATATCTGCCAAGCGATTATTTGGGAGTAGTTATGAGCATTCAAATATGAGAAATTTTTCGAGTTTCGATGAATGTATTTCCTTAAAAGGCAGCGTGATGGCGCGGATTCAAGGTGACTATAGCTGTTTTGATTGCAAGAAAGAAGCACATTTAATAAAAACCCAAACATGTGTTTATGAAATCTATTTCTGGAACATGCGCCATAGAACGCTTGACAATTCGCGCATTTAAACGCTCATAACTCATCCCAGATGCTTGGCAGATAATAAACATATATTATTCATCAGCGTTTTAAGAGGAGTCCGATGATATACAACATGTTTTGCTACAGCTGAGTTAAGTTCGGACCATTCCCTGCTTAGTAAAGCAAGACTTTGCGTCCTCATAACTAATTTTTTCTCGATGATCCTTCTTTATAATAACCACTTCCGAAACATGGTTGTTTTCAAAACAATCACAAAGGCGAAATTAGCTTCTCCTCGTTTTCTCCGTGTCGTGGATTGAATGGTTTGGGGTGAAAACTTGCAGTTAGAAATGACGCCAAATGGAAGATTTTAAATTGCAGGGCTTTGTCCTTTGAAAGTTTTTTTGCTTTTGCTCTTGCATCTTTTTTCTTCTTTGTTTTCTATAAACAACCATCTCTCCTAGTGAGGTCCAGATATTCGAACATCCTCCAGGTTTGAATCCTATCTTTATTGGGAGACGGCCAAAAAGCCCGTTTCCTCCGGAGATCACCAATCTAACAGCCATGTTTGGAGCAGAGGGAGCCTTTCAAGATTACCAGACAGTGCTTTGGCTTACTAAATATCTGAAGTTACTACGTGATAGATTTGACAGCGTTTGCCGAAAACTTGAGAAATTTACGGAAGCCGTTAATTGCATTTCTCACGAGTTTTTGGCCCTCAAACTTATGTTTTGGACCTACTTCAGAATTAGGACCGAGCAACCCATTTAAGGAACGTGCGTATCTTAATAAAAATTCGAATTGATCCCAGAACATCTAGAATACAAAAATGCGTTAATTGTTAATCATCTGGCAATAAAAATCGCGCCTCTTGCCATAAGTTCTATTGAGGCCCTATCTCTATCTCTTTATAGAAGGTATGCAAAAAGCAAGATCTGCTTTTTAAGAATAAGTCTGTGGCGTACATAAGAACCGCGACTTCTAAACAGTTGCAATTTCTGAACTTGAACTTGGACGTAAGCTTTAGTAGAACAGATAGATGTACAGTATTATGGGCTTTTACCCTGTCGTGGTGGGCCTTTCCGTATTGTGAAAAGCAGATGCGAAGGCTTTTGAGGCAAATCCCAAGCGTAGCTGCGCAAATCAGTGGCGTTAGGAGTGCCATAAAGATGATCACCTTGGTGATACGCAGATGCGTACCTCAGTATAGAAGTCTAGTTAGCAGACGATGACTTTCAATTTTTCCCTCATCATGACAGAACGTTTGAAGACTTCTCCTCTGCTCCATTTCAGTGAGCCTGCGTCCATGTTCGCTGTTGCAAATATCTTTTTCCCTTGTTTAGCTCTGAATGTTCATCAGCCCTATAAACCTATAGCCTATAAAGTGACGCGGTTATTCTGTGTTCGTCTTGATTTCTAGAATTTAGTAGCTTCCCCGTTTGTGTATGTCCATTCCCGTTCTGCTGTATCGTTTTCATCCCTATCCTGTTTATATCAGTGATTAGCTGGCATACCCGGTCACGCTCAGGTCACTTGTTATGAAGCTGCAGACTCACCGTCTGATTCGCATTACCTACTTTGATCTCTAAGACAAAGGAGTGTAGGGTACATTGCGAAGATAAATACTTTCCTATTCTTGCTACTTTGATATTTCTCTTGGGATTTCTCAACAAAACGTGCTTATCTCACTCATCGGGTTTGCTCGGCAATGTATTCGTAAGCATGGTGCGATGGATATGAGTACAACTTATCATTCATCCGACGTTGAAGAACATTTTTATCGTGTCGGCTACTAAAACCATCTCGCAATGCTTTTATCACTTTACGGAATCCAACAATCCTGCCCATCTTCAGGGCCTTTTGCAACACAAGGAGCTGTGACAATAGTGAGTGTAACCTAGATCTTCTTCTAATATCATTATTGTTTTCAAAGATACTCCGCATTTTCTTTTCTACGACAAAGCTTTTCCTAAAGCCATTGTCTTGTCGATGATCGTAAGAAAAACACTTGCGAATTCGGTGCCATTATTCAGTCATGTAAACACATCTACAACAGCGGACCCAATGCCTTCAACATTTATCAAGATGGACTTGGTCCTTTTGAGGAAGTACCTATTAAGTAGCGTTTGTTTTGTTTCTAGTGCCACCGTCAGAATCCGACATATAAACCACTATATGTCGGATTCTGGCGGTGGCATTAGCTACCGTACCCCGGGCGCGCGGTGGGACCAACCAAAATTGGAATGAGCTTGACAACAAGCCAGCTGCTTATCGCGAAAACCATTTTTTTGCTTTCTGTGAATGATTTCTCGTACCAAATGTCAAATTTTACGGTTTTCCTTCTTTCAGGCCTTTTTTGAACGTTACCCGCCTACCAGCGTTGTGCCACATTGAGGTGTGTACGTATAATCATGTATTGCAAGCACAACAAAACTTTTCGGGTTAGCGTTCGGCTGTCACGTGCTTTACTGCTGCTTAACTTTGTGTGTTTACAGCTGTCAAGTCACTGTTGCAATCTCAGTACACTACTTCATAATGCGCAGGACTAGCGACCATACTAGCGACCACACGGTCAGCAAGGTGGTTTGCTACAACGGGAAGATCATAGAAAATTGTGAACTTTTTCTCAGTTTAGACTACAGTTGAGCTTTTCACGGTTCCACAGTGATACGGTGCTTGCGGGAAGTGTAACATTCTACTTCATCGGAAGAGCAAGTACGTTATTCTCAGTTTTGCTTTAGGCCCGTTTGCATGAAAAAACTAGCCGCAGGAATGATCATGCATGGGCTTTTGTTTCTATGATAACTTCAAGTAATTTGAAAAGTATGCAACTTAGCAATCAGAATCGTCATTGATTTGATTATTTATTTGATTATTTTGTAAATGATTACGTGATAAACCTAGTACAGTTTCAGCTTTTTGAACCCTTCAAACCTTCTTATACTTTTTGGTAAGCAACATGCTATTTATGTAATGCAATTGAAATGAATGCAAGTGACTAAAGATATAAGTTTTGCATTCCTACAAAAATGCAAGGAACTAAGGAAACAAAATGCGCATAAGCTTAAATTACAGGAAGGTACAAAAGACAAGGATGAAACAATTTCCTCAAAATACTACGTTCTGATAGAAGTTGAAGAGCTTGGATGTAGCAAGAGGAAGCGAATTCCATTCTTTTATTCCCGTTACCAGACTTCAAGTTCCAGCAAAGCACGACAGTACTTCTCTAGCTCTGCAATGCGCCGTTCTTTCAAAAGCTGGGGCTCCTGAAAAGAAGCTTCATTTAGATGTCAAGTCACAGCGAAGTTTGATTTTTTTTTCTCAGGATACATGGAGAATACATTCAGCCATAGATACAGTTTTGCAATGAAAAGTGTTCGTATCTCTAAAAAACGCAGTCCGTGGCAGATTTATGATGTGTTTCTAGGTGAAAGCATCTGCTGACATTTAGAACCGAAAACTGCAGCCAGACGAGAACGGAAAACATCAAGGAGTTTCTAAAGACAAATAAAACAGAGTCGTTAGGGGTTTTCTAAAGAACAGAGAAGAAGCATGATAAACCCACCCCAGGCACATGCGAAAAATCATCTACAAGGACCAAAATAATGGTTCCCACACTCCACCATTCGGTTTTCGATTCATCCGTAAACAATTTATAGTGGCACAACGCTGGTAGGTGGGCTAACGTTCAAAAAAGGCCCAGGAGGAAGAAAAACTACGGAATTGGACACTTCACGCGAAAAATTAACCACCTAAAACAAAAAATGGCCTTTGCGGTAAGCAGTTGGCTTCATACCAGGCTGATTCCCATTTTGGTTAATTCCGCCGCGCACCCGGGGAACGGTAGCTAGTGCCTAATGGAGAGAAAGTTTTCAGCAGAATAGCCTCAGCTACTTTTCATAGATTTCGCCAAGCCACGGGCGAAGGAGTCGATGTTGATTTGGAGAGGACATTTACGAAAGCTTCTGTGAGTTTAACCGAAGCCTAAATTCAATTAGCACATTGCCTCGGGCGAGAGGTGATGTGCGACATAGGTTGCATGAGACCCACATAGATAAGGTAAGACATTACTTGATCACAAGTGCTGCCTTTAATCCGTAGTAGCGTAATAGGGAGATGAGAGTGAGCGTGCGCGAAAACCGGAAAAGGCGGATGGAGGGCGGGGTGGGTGGAACTCGCCAGTGGACTTAGTCGAGCAGCTTTGAGCTTATAATGTACGACTTTGAATCCTCACTTCCCTTCGACTGCAATCGTTGTAGAGAAAATGGGTGGCCGAGAGCGATGAATCTTCGAAGAGGTCCAGGTAGGGTGGCGGGAAGGAGGGCGGGCAGCAATTAGGAAGATAGACGGAGGGCGGGAAGGGAGTGCTTCGCAGGTGAAGTTAATTGAGGAGCCTTATGCTCATAAGGTGGGATTTTCACTCGTTCTCATTCTGTTCTGACCTTCACTCTTTGCAGAGGAAAAGGCATAGCGAGAGCGTTAGCCCTTTCTCGGACTTATCATCGGAGGGTTGGAAGTATACATGGCGGGATGGTGAGCGGGAATACTTGCAGGAGGAGGAAGGCGGGAGGGTGGGTGTTAGAAAATTCTCCCCTCCACAGAATTCCTCCAGATGAGCTGGCGGAAATTAGAAAAAAAGAATCATGCAGCAACTGGAGGACGTATGTTTATTTATTGTCTTCATTATAAAGTCTAACGTGCTGTTTGCAGTTCGACTTTGACTGTAGTAGTTCGCTTCAACGCCGGAGTTGCGCTTCAGCTAAGCAAGTCACGAAGCTCCATATAAATCTTTCAAAGGTACGCAATCCTTCAAGTACAAAGTTCACTGTACATTTTGCTCGTCATATATAGCTCTTATTTCAAGAAGAACCTGCAATTTTTACGAAAGTCTGCTTGGCTGTTGATAAACTGGTCACCGTGCTGGACCGTCAGCTGGAGCTAACTCAGGCGCAGGGCCCGGCACCGATGGTTTGGGGTCAAACTGGACTTCGTTTTTGGAGTTAGAAGCAACGGAGACATCGTTTTAATGAGGTCCTGGAGGAAGCGCCAAAAAACACGACGAACTTGTCAGGTTTCACGAGTTGAACGTGTTCTTTCGCAAGCGCGCGAATTTCAAATGCAAGACTCAAACAAACAAATGGCTTGTTTACAGCGCACGAACAATCACATGGCTCCGAATTTGGGCTATGACTTTGCTCGGCTCGAAATGTTTTCTTTTTGCTTTTTTGTTATAATACATACCTCAAAATGCGCTTTTTTCGCTATTTTGTTGCTATTTTGGTTGAATAAGGGTTTCCCTACTGATTTTCACATCGAGAGGGACTTCGTAAATTTTCGCGAAGTCATGGGGGACTTCGTTTTCTAAAAACCTCCAAGCCAACGCGTGCCGGGCCCTGCTCAGGCGCTCTGTGAGCGCCTTCGGGGAAGGAAGACGGCAACACAGTTTGAGACAAAGCCAAGTCCCATTGAAGGGGACCCCAACTTGGCTTTGTCTGAAGCTTCGAAGTCGCTCTTTGTTGTCGTTAACACGTTTCGGACCGGCGCTGCACATGGTGCTGCACGCGACTTTAAAGGATTTCAACTTTTACAGGAGGCTTATTTTTAGTTCAAGGTTATCAAGTATCAAGGCAACGCGAACGGCAACTTTTTTTTTGCTTCGATTTTCTATTTTTTCTTGTTCCTATCTTTCAGGAAAGCACATAAGTCCTCCGTAAGAGACAAAATTTAAACCATTCGAATTCATTCAGAACTTTGGGTGTGGAGCTTATCTGGCATGCTGATTACAGGTGTAGCACACAGTCTACGAAATAAGGTTTTATAGGTTGAAGTCTGAAGACACACTCTTTTTCGCCGGGCGCGTTTTCGCGATCCAAAACGTGTAAAGATGTTGACTTTTTTATTTGTTGCCTTTGTTTGTTCATGATCACTCACATCCGATCTCTGTTGTAGGGAATTATTTTATTGCTAAAATCACTGTTGTGAATTGTTTGGCTGTTGAAATTGTTATTATAATGTATTTTGCTATTAAAATTATTGCTGTAAAATGTTATGTTGTTGTTGTGATTACTGTCAATAAAAATCGTGACAGCATTTGCATACTAAACTCATCACAATGAAATAATAACAAATATCTTGGACTACCCTTGAAATTAATTAATATTGACGACGAAGCTGGCGAGCATGATGCTGGCAGGGACTGGCGCTGCTCTCCAATAATCGAAGGTGATGAGGGAGCTATCACGAAGCCGGCACGGTATGTAATTGCCCTCAAAACACTTGGATGGTCACGATGGAGCTGGTACGAAGCTGGCACGAGCTCCACAGCCTTCAAACCCATAGGATTGATTACGGAACTATCGATGTTGCATGTTGATGTATCCACAATATAATATGATACTTTATTAGAACTCATAGCAACAAGCATGTGACAAATTCAAAAATAACAGCTGTAACAAAAATATTACGAAACACGGGTCTTAGAAAATACTTACATACGACTGACTAGATAACCACAAATGTTGGCGCAGTTTTCTGGCGGATGACGGCATACAGCTAGTCTACGCCCAAGTCTTCTTGGACGTAGCCCATGGCTATTATCATGTTGTATAGAACTTCGCATGCTATAATAATCTTAGGTGCACGTCTTGGAGCTACGCGGATCTTAACCTTAAGAATTGCGAACTTTCTCTTCCGCACTTTGGACGTGTCTCGACTACGACACGCATCTTCGAGTACCATTGTAGGAGACTTCCTGTTTGGTTCTCGGATTCCTCATGGGAGTGACACATCATTTCCATTAGCGAATCCTGAGTTTCCAATGAAGCTGTAGCCAAACGCGACCAAACCCTCTTCGTAAGCTTGCTTTACTTACGAAGCGGCATGCTGCCGTCATGAACAGACCTCAGGAAGTTCGCATTGATATACACAAACCGTCCGTGGGCAGCAATTTACAGCAGCCAGCATCGTCCACCAGCAGACTGTCCTCTGGCTGACACTGTTGGGATCAGCCAGAACCTCCTGGTGGACGTTGATTGCGAGGTACCGGAGGGCGATCATCACCTGCAAGCACAAGGATTAAAAATGCGAAATTTTTACATTATATCTGCGCTATCAGAGACACAGCTGCGCTAGTGTTCAACGCGTACGGTTTATTGCTGGGCATGCAACACCAGCAATACACGGTTACATATTCATAGTCGAAGTAATAAGAAATCAAGTAACAGGGATGTAGCCTTACCTTATTCTCCAAATCGACTGACCAATTCGGGGTATGCCGACCTTCTATGACTGGTGCGATAAAACGGCAAATCTTTATAATGTTGCTTTTCCTTCATACGAAGTTTCGGCTCCAACATCCGCTGATTCTGGTGGAAAAGTCGCAGTGGATGAAGCCGACAATAACGGATGTTGGCGCCTCTCCTCCTGCTTCCTTACACAAACACTAGCATTAGTCTGGAAAACGAGATTGAGAGGTTTGCAGTGGGGCGATTCCATAGAACAAGAATAAACATAGAAAGGAAACAACATAATGCGCGCAGTATGAAGGCACCCTTGTGTAGGAGTTCATTGATCGCTGTATCTCTCGAACAGCTACTTAAATCCCTTTGAAAATGCCGACCCCAGATTCAGTGCCTGAAGCGCAGTGACAGTGCGCGCCGCCATTTCAGGGGTTTACTACGGGCCAAGGCTTCTAAAACTTTTCAAACTGAAAAATCTTGATGCAAACTTGCAAACTTGGACATTCCAATGGGCAAGGGTAGATATCTAAAAATTGCAATATTTTAACACATATCGATAAAAAATATTTGCACTTACCATTATCCAGTTGGTTCGTGTCATCCTTCTCACTTGTTCGATTTCCTTTGACATCGACTCCTGTTTTGCCTTCATTTGATCCACGGCAGATCCTAGCGATATAAACGCAGTTGACAATCCGCTGCTTAGTCCAGTAGCAGGCTGAAGAATAGTGCGAAGGATGGCAGCAACCGAATTAGACATTTCAATATGAAAATGGGATTTCGTGCCTTTTATAATACACACTTTTATACACTCAACTCCCGCCAAAAAATTTTTTTGACCTAGTCGGTGTACGAGGTTTATTAGGCGAAATCATGACAAATATGCAAGCTATTGAAGTTGAGTATGAATAAATCATTACTTAACACTACTTTTAAAGTTCTTAGATAACCCTGTTAGTTTACAGAACCAATTGTATACACTAAGTAGTATTTGATATAGGGGTTGGCAATGCCTGATTTGACTGCGACGTGTAGTGTAGTGGCTAAAGCAATGACCTCTCAAGATAAGCTAGCCCTAGGTTCGAATCCCTCTTACTTTGTTAAGGTCAAAACAGCATAAAGAAGTATGGCTTATATATCTGTTTACCTTACAACTTCAGAATTTGAAAAAGCTTTGAAATCCTTGTTCGGTAATACTTGTCAGAGCCCAAAGTAAAGACAAATAACGCCTCATCCTCGTGTAGCAAGTGGTGTAATGGCTAGTGTGGTATTCTCGCAAGACAAAGTAGATGTAGGTTCGAATCCTTGTTACTTTAACAGAGTTGAAACAGCATAGAAATGTATTGCTCATATGTTTGATTATGTTGTAGCTTCAACTGGAAAAAGCATGAGAATTCTTTGTTCAAGATAAATATCATAGCCAAACTAATAGGAAGACAGAAAACGCTTGGTCTTTGGGTAACAAGCAGTCTAATGGTTAGTGAGATAGTCTCTCAAGACAGAGTAGCTGCAGGTTCGAATCCTTTATACTTTGATATGAAACTAAAGCAGCATAATTAAGTATTGCTTACCTGTTTATTCGCCTTATATTTTAAGTAAATTAGGAGGCATTGAAATCCTTCTACAGCAATAGATATCAGATCCTAAAACTAATAGTCAGGTAGTGATTGACATAAAAGCGACCAATTATGTAATGGTTAGTGAGATGGTCTCTCAAGACAAAATAGAGTGGTTCAAATTCTTTGTATTTTGCTGAAGATATATTAAGATAAACAGGCTGCTTATACATTTATCAACCACAGCGATAAAACATTAGTAGCTCATTGTCTTTTTTCACCCTCCAGCATTAAGGGTTGGAGTAGGCGTAAGGCCTTTTGGTGAATAGAGCACTATATCAGGTCAACGATTTTGAAAAAAGTGCAACAATGGATGCGTTTAAAGCGTGAAAAATATGGTGCAGCAGTTATTCTCTTCTTGTCTTTTCCTCTATATCTTTTTGAAATAGGGAAACCTCAAAAATTCGATCAGGGATATATTAGGTGGGTCCGAAAGTTTTGTCGGTTTTTTCAATCCATCGGCAAACACGCTAGAATGAAGATAAACTCTTCAAAATGTATCCAATGCAGAATTTCTTTCTCTTTCCAGCTGCTGAACTCCCATTGTGTTTCGTAGCGAGAGTGACGAGATCTTTGCTGGAAATTACATTTTAATTACGTTTTTAGCGTGTCCAACTTTCGCTAATTTTCAAAATTTTTGTATGAGATTTCCGGAGGAACCTTAATTACCATTAGATAGGGCAAACCTTTTGCCAACAGAAGCAATTTTTTGTAGCCCTGCGGCTTGTCCTCCAGAATTTCTACGATTTATTTTTTGAAGTGACCAAATTTTACATTCAGCCTATTTTAACCTCGTGGAACATAAAATGTCAAACACTTCAGTTACCTTTCGATGCAGATTTTTCTCCTCTTTCTAACACTTGTGTTTTTTGCCGAGACAGGCGAAATTTGTGGGGAAAATCGCAGTATTTCTCAATTTCAGGAGTGCGCACTGACTTGGCGAAAATCGCTCACTCACTTTGAAATGGTAGCGGTAGTAATAATCATGTGTTGAAACCTCAGTTTTTCTATAGGTTTTGCAGTGTTTGGTGCAATAACAGGTTATGCTATTTTGCCAAAACACGAGACTCTTGGGAAATTATCTAACAAAAATCTGAAAAAGCAGCTGAGAAAAAGAAAAAAATTGCATAAGATGGCAAAAGTTCTGCACTATTTGCTGTTTATTAGGACTCCTCCGAAAGTCTCATACAAAAATTTTGAAAATTAGCCAAAATTGGACATGGTAAAAACGGTGGTTGTAATCAGCAAAGATCTCGTCACTTTCGCAACGAAACACAGTGGGAGTTCAGCAGTTGGAAAGAGAAAGAAATTCTGCATTGGATACATTTTGAAGCGTTTGTTTATCTTCATTCTAGCGTGTTTGCCGATGGATTGAAGAAACCGATAAGACTTTCGGACCCACCTAATATTAATTCATTCACCCTCCTGCATTAAGAGCAGGAGAGGCATAAGGCCTGTTGGTGAATAGAGCATTCTAATTTCATACGATACCGATTGCAAATGCACCTTATAGTCCATTGAAAATTCATAACATTTCCATTACGCAAAACAAAATGTCTATTTGCAGCTTCGAGATTATTCTACGCATCTAATAACCTGTCATAATATTATATGTGGTCCTGCGTTCCATTATATGTCTTTTACCAATTTCATATGCAAAAATTATCTTTAGTGCTTGTAGTTATCATATCAAAAGTTTCATTTATCTTCCATAATATACGGTCATTAAAGTCTACTACATCAGTTATACAGATGCAGGTTGGAAAGTTGGTTCTGTTGAATCATTCAAGGTAAATTAAGTTAGTTTCTATAATCATATTTTATGAGTATAAATTGAGATGCTACAGGACTCACGGTCTAAACCTGGTGTTCTATTGTAGACCATTACCTCCAGACACAATAAGTACATATCGATACACTCACGCTATTACATAGCCACTGTGATGTCAACATTACATACGAAAAATCAATTATATAATTCGGGAAAACCTTGGCGCGATGTAGGCACCCCATCCTATGCGGTTTACACTGCGGGTAACGCTCCCCGGGGAAGAAAAGGCTTGCCCCTGCCGAGGAGGAAACATCCTCCGATAAAGAAACTGCATAAGGGTCCGGGAAGGACCGCCTTGGACTCGATGGACACAGGTCCAGCAAGAAAAACCAAAATATAAATAACCAGCTGGCTTACCCGGCTCCGCCCGACCCCGTCAAAAGAAAGGTTCCATTTCCATACTTGTACACCTTTACCTGGGCACACTTCTACATAAATATTCCCCTGTGTGAGTAACCAGTATGCCCATCTACCTTCCTCACCCCCCCCCCCCCCGCCCCGTAGCTCAAACTTTGCAAAAACAACAATAAAATCGATAAAAGTAAGGATAATTCCTAAACTGATGGCGTTATGCAGCTATCTGGGCCCTAAAATGTTTTTGTGGTGGGTCTTGCTCGAACTCGGTTTATGGGGGTTATTCAAGCCGCTAATGACGAATATGGTAGTCATTCGCGTGGCAGCGGGTAAAAATTATGAACTTGCCTGAAACATTGGCAGGGAATTACCTAAAGTGCTGTTTCGAGAATATCGTGCTTAATCCCCGCGATTTACACGTTGGGACAGGTTAACGATGGCGCTGAAGACCGCAATGCAAAACAACCGATTCCTCATTTCGTGAATATCTGGGATCTAAGTTGGCCCGAAATCGAAAAAATGTCCATTCAAATCCTGCAACTCACCATAACTTCACTATTGCGTTATGACAGCGAGCAAGCATCATATTCATAAGCAGTTTACTTGTGAACCGTTACAGGTAAGGTTTTGAGCAAATCTGGAACTTCGACCCATCTACTGCACACCCACCGTAGCCCAAGAAAATGCGCTGTCTGCGAAATCAGCATGATATTCATCCCAGCGCGCTAAATGACCACCCTAGACGAAGTTTAAAGCAAATCTATGTGACCCCATTCTAACCACCATAACTCTATGAAAAGGTCCCAGTATGCAGAGAGAGGGTATGAAATTCGTAGTCAGCATGTCGAATAAGTTCTCTGGACCAAACTCTAGCCGAATTCATGATTTTGACTTCCTACAGTACACCTACCGTAACCAAAAGGGGGTACGTTCTGCGGAAAAAGTGTGATATCTGTCAGCACGTAAGATAACCCTTATACCTAGAAGTTTGAGTAAGCTCTACGACAAAAAAAATTTGGGGCCCGGATAGCCGAATAGCGCCAAACTAATATTGTGTTCGTAATTAGCATGCTCGATTACCCCCCTGTGCCAACTCCCAACCCCGTAGCTCAAACTTTGCAAAAAATCGATGAAATCGATAAAAGTAATGGACGATTTCAAAAACTAATATTGTATTCGTAATCAGCATGCTCGATTATCCTCCTGTGCAAACTCCAAGCCCCGCAGGTCAAACTTTACAGAAAAATCGATAAAAGTAATCAATAATCCTAAAAACTAATGTTGTATTCGGAATCCCCATGCTCGATTACCCCGTGTGCCAACTACCAGCCCCGTAGGTGAACTCTGCAAAAAATCGATAAAAATCGATAAAATCGATATCAATCGATGACGAAAAGTAGCCTATGACACCCGCCGGGGCCCGAAGTATATGTGTGCCAAGTTTGGTCCGGATCGGTTCAGAAATGGAATTTTCTATTCGGAACATACGTACAGACGGACAGACAGACAGACTGACATACAGACAGACAAACAGACATTCAGCTTTATATATAAGATACAAATGCTATATGTTCAGTGTTGTCCTTGTCTAATAATACAAGGGATCAGAACAGATGCAGAGTAGTTACATCAAATTCAAGTGAGCATAGAGGCAATCGATGTAGTAGAAATAGATGTGCTATATGTGATCTTATGAATTTCCAAGGCGTAGTCAGAAGTTCAATCACAAATTATTATTTTAAAACGAATAAACCACAAAAATGTACATGTGACACAAGCAATGTAGTATGTATGATAACATGATAATGTACACGTACAAATCTATGCGGACGATACAAAGATATATGCATCTTATGATGAAGACAACCTGGACACAGTTCATGATGCTTTGCAGTCATCGATTGATAAGATGTGTGCTTGGGCGTCTCAGAATGGACTCTCTCTCAACCCAAGAAAATG